TACAGGTTGCTTTTATAATGCGCAAATTATAAGTCATGTAAATTGTATGTAGCGATAATAGTACAAGTTGTTTTTGTACTGTCGCAAATTATAAATTGTAATTAAGTAATGTAAAGATAATGATACAATTAATAAATTTCATGTTATATTAAATTCTTTTATGTATTTCTTAAAAACTCAATGAAATTCGAATATCGGTCAAAATTTTACCGATGCTCGAAAATCTAGAGTTTGTGACCAATCAATGCTCGAAACTCATCGATTCCAATCTCAAGTTGTTATATATTTGTATACAATTTAGATATTTTATATGTAAAATCCGAATTTATTCAGTAGATACAGTCAAAAAAATTTTTTTCTCAAACTGTCTGATCGATTCTGCATCAACAACCGAATACATTGAATATTTTCTAAATATCTATACTACTAAAATTCTAGCATCTATCACAGTTACGATAAAATGCAGAATTTGCAGAATTCACTTATTTTTGTAGAGATTAGATTTTATCGCGGATAATTGCAAAATTGAAGATTTAAGCCTAAAAATTTGATCAAAGATCCAATTTAAATAGCATGTTTTTGTAGGAGATTTTCGGAAGAACGCAGAGAATGAGTTTAATCAACACAGAAAATCATCTCTAGTCGTCATAACGCGTGGTTATAAATGATCTAATTGGTCAATTTTTGATTCATGTTATTGATAATCATGAATTTGAAACCAGTTCAAACAAGAGACCGAACTAAAATCTACACCTAGGCACGGATATACATAGACATGCCAATCAGCTAGTATATATTTTTAAATTATATAAAAAATAGTTGAGATACTTAGTTTCGAAGATTATCTCTCCTACTTGTTCCAACCACCACGTAGAGATATTCATGGAGTAGTTCTCAACATTAGAACCAGCAAATCAGTACCAACCTTATTTTATTAATTATTGCGCAAATAGCTTTCCAAATTCACATCTATTATTACTTGATTCAGGTGTTTAACTATTTCTTTAGAAGCTTCTAAAATATCCCACACATTATTAGTTTGCTTTGATGTTTCTTCGATAATATCCCACATATTGTTCAAAGTATCCGACGCGTCACTAACTTGAATTAGTTCTTTTTGAACATTCTAAGAGTTTCTGGTAAATATTTATTCGTATTGATAACAGGTGATTCATACCTCTCCTGCATTTTCTATGCAGGAAATTGCTAACAAAAATATTTATCTTAAACGTAAATTTTTTTTGCCTATTTAAATTAACAAGTGGTGTAACCAGACTTCATCAAAACCGGTAAACTTCAAAATGGGAGCAAAAAGAAACAAACTAAGCAAAACACGTTAGATATTTCTGTTTAAATTGGTTTGATTATCACGTTACACCAAGATGTAGATCAATTTTTGGGCACAATCTAGTGTTTAAAATTCACTTGTACAAATGTATTTTGTGCAACTTTTTTTAAAAATCTAAAAAAAACTCTTGCACATGTGCATCTTGTGCAAGCCAATTTTAAACACTGGCACAATCAAGTAAATTTATATTAAGTATTTTTGGAATACTGTATATAGTAAAAGTTGGTTTTATTTTGTTATTTTAAATTAAAAATCTTAGGTTTAAAGCTGGTTTTACCTGATATAAGGTATCTACTTTGTTAATATGTAGAAATAAAGACATTTTCGGGTTAAAGATACTATTTTCTTATGGTATATAAAAATTGAGAAGCTATTAAAGTTGCTGGTGAAACTAAATTGTGCTGGTAAAACTGGTGACTGTCTAAAATCTGATTGGCTAATTCATTTAATAGCCAATCAGATTTAGATAGTCACTAGTTTCACCAGCACAATTTCGTTTCACCAGCAACTCTAGTAGCTACCCACTTGTAGCAGAACCTCCGAATAATATGGGTGTGAACTGAGAAAAGAGACCAAATTGACAATTTTTCAAAAAAATTGTTTTGAGCTTAACTAATCCAAAATTGGCCCGGGAATATTTTTTATTTAAAAAACAAATTCTGTAATCTAAATAAAAATTTGCAATATAACTCTTTAAAGTTTGTATTTTCTTATAATTTATTATATAAAATTTATAATATAAAAATCATTTTCCACCGTAAAAATTAAAAAAAATTCAATTTTTCGCAAAACTTTTTTTTTATTAATTTGGTCTCTTTTCTCAGAACACAGTCCATATATATAGAGGTTATATTGGCTTTAATATAAACTTTTTATTAAAACCAAATTAATCTTATTTATACTGTATGTTGTATAAGTTTTAATATTTAAATAAATTTATTCAATTAATATATGATTGTCGCTAAAAGAAAACCCGAAAATTTAAATATGACTTATATTTAAATTTTCGGGTTTCTCTTAGCGACACTCATATATACCATTTTTTTTTGTTTTTTTATCAAGTAAAAAATATATATATATATACTTTACCGGAAATTTTTTTTTTATTTATCCAAAATTTAAATATAAACTGTTTTAAAATTATCAGTTAATTC